AAAAAAAATTATGTTGATTTGTTGATTTTTCAAAAAGTTATGGAAGTTTTAAGAAAAAAAAGTGAAAAAATTTCGAAAATTAGCGATTTTTAAATTTGTAATTTTTTTGGATATTTCCCCCATTTGCGGGGAACGAGGGAATTTTTTTCAATTTTTAAGGGTAATGTCTTCAACTAGATATGATTTGTGATCTTTTGACGTATTTTTGAAAGAAATCGGTCCAGTGAGAGCTGAGAAAAAGTGGCAACAGACATAAAAAAAAAAAACACATCATAGTAAAATTAAAAGCTAATAATTATAATTAAAATCAATTTACTATTTTTAGCCAGATAATGCAGATTTTATTAAAAAAAATTGTTTGAAACAACATTTAAATCATTAACACAAAAAAGTTATACATGCTTTAATTCATATAGGAAGTCTATACTTTGATAGATCATGTATTACAAAATATTTTTTAAGATGCAGCATGACATTGAATGTGTGATCTTGTTATTAGCTTGAAAACGGATGATTATAGTCAAAATTGCATATAGTATGATATTGTTTCATATTATTGAGATGGAACATTAGAATAAGTTGAACACAAATAATGAAAAAAATGAGAGACAAAAAGTTTTCACAATTTCTTATCTTTCTCATATATTTAATAAGACATTTAAAAATGAAGAACATAGTGTTGTGAATTATATAAAAATGTGTTTACCAAATTTTTTTACAAACAATTTAATTTTTATAATGTATTTTTATATATATGTTTTTTTAATTCAATTTAGTTGGCTTAATAAAACTAAATAATTAACTAATTTACTCCTCATGTATTTACTATATAAATTATAAATTATTCATAAATAAAAATATAATTTTAAATATATTTATAATTTCTGTTAGCACAATATAATATATAAATTATGACACAAATTAAATACATATAATTTTATTTATCACATATTTAGGAATAAAAAAAATTCAACAACTGAAAAGATATATGATATAAATTATTGTCCTATATTGCACAGAAGAATGATTTTTGATCAAGTTCATTTAAGTTGAATCATTTGTAATTTTAATATTCTTTATACCTATGTAAATTATGTATAAAAATTATTAAAATAAAAAAAACTTTGGCACACAAAATACTTAACAAATCACAATAATGCCATAAAATATACATACAAAGAATAAACTACTATAAATAAATTTAATAAAATAATATTAAGTTAGAGTATTAATGATGGTGTATTAAAATATATTGTTTTGCATAGAATACATGTTTTTAACTTCTCACCGATTTTCTAGAGACTTGTCCACTTTGAAGAAAGACAATGTACCCATAATCAAAGTAATCATTAATAATGTTAATTGAACATACATACCAAAGAGATTACTATAGAAAAAACTTAAAGCAGCAGCAATAGACTAAAATTAAAAAATGTTAAATTCTATAATTTAAAGCAAAACAAATTTATATAATATGTATATTATAACTAAAACAAACAAATAAATTCGAATTTTTTTTTTCATAAACTATACATAATTGAGGAAGCTTCAAATTACCTGCATAAATTTAAATAATGCCATAGCTGGTGCACTATTTTCAGAATATTTTTTACCAATTACATTATATATTTGAGTATTAAAACAACTGTCTCCAAAACCCAAAAGAAAACTGCAGAATATTGCTATATATTGACTGTAAATTGATATTAAAAATAATATTAAATTAATATAATTAGTTTAATTAATTCATACAATAATACTTACTTTGGCTGAATAAAAGATATTGTGTCAGTATCTTGAAATGGAGAATCATCCGGTAAATTAATAAAAATTAATCCATATGCTACTATATTTACAATAAATCCAAGTGCAACAACAGCAGAATGACTAAACCCTTTAGATTCTACTTCAGTAGTAGTAGTAGTCTTTTTACCTAAAATACTGAATAGAAAACCACCTTAAAAAAGAATTGTAAATGAGTATTAATACAACTGTTTTTTTATTTAACTAAGAAAATACAAGATTAACTGTAACTAAAAAGTATAAATTTTGTTTTACACTTTTTCTTACAAAAAAATTAACATAAATTTAAAAATCATACTATCTTACACTGTGTAATAACCTATAAGAATAATATAGCATAAACCTTCTCCCCTTACATATTACTTTAATAATAAAATATACAGAAACTATGATTAAAAAGTAAATAACCTAAATAGTTTTATTGTAACAAATAATACTAAGCTTACCAATAATTTCTCCAACACCAATAAGGATACCAGATAATCCAACCAATTGTTTACTATTAGGACCAATTTTTTTTGTAAATCCAATACTTGAACTGTATACTCCACTATAAAATGATAGATGTAACCCTATAATCACAATTTATAAATGTTCATAACTATTTAATTAAGTACCATTAAAATATTAATTTAATTTTTGTACCCGTAAAGAAGAATGACATATTTAATAAGCACATATCTTCAGTTAAAAAAAGAGCAACAGAATTTTTTAATTCATTTATTATGCTCAGAGGTATTCCTTGTTCATTCTCAGTCCCTTCAGAACTAACTGGAGATCGTAAAAGTAAAAACAGTAATGTTCCCAAAAAACAAACTACAGACAAAACCGTAAATAAAAGTGTTCTAGTTGATTCATCTACATGAGATTTATCATGAAGAACAAAAAATACAAATGTATTTCCTAAAAACATGCTGAAAAACATTTAAAAAAATTAAAAATAGTAGAATTTTTATTTTTTATTTCTAATAAATAACTTTATCTGTTCCAAGTAATTAACAGANATCAATTTTTATTTTTTATTTCTAATAAATAACTTTATCTGTTCCAAGTAATTAACAGAAATTTTCTATAAAACTTTAATTTTTCAAATGGAACTACATTTTAATATTCATGATATAAGGTTTTACAAATAATATGTCTCCATAAATAATTCAATGTTGACTCAAATAATTATTTAAATATATATATATAGACCAAATTGGTACAGAACTTATACCATGACTGTGACAAAAATTACCCTGACATATAAAATCCAACTTCATAGTAATCTCAGTTTTTTTCTTAATATCATAGTAACACAAGAGAGTTTACTATGAATAAGTATTCATATTTATTATACAGAGTAAGTATATTTATAGCATATTTTATAATATTGGAATATATGAATGTCAAAGCAATCATAGCCACCTAAATTTTCATAATTATCTGATAATTAATTTGATTTGTGATAAATTAATAGAGATGAGATCTTATGATTGCATAATAATACATAATTATTGTTTTTTCATTTCAATTATAGGCATTCATTCAAACAGAAATATTTTTCATAGAAGAAATTCAATACCAATAAAAAAAAAATATTATGTAAAGATTGAAAAATTTATTTTTTAAAAGATATGATTGTTGACTAAAAAATTCTTAATAATTTATAAATTTTATATTTATAAATAATAATTAACAAATATAAAATTATATGTAATAAGAAAAGCCAGAAAGATTTTTTTAACATAATTATTATTTTAAGAGGAATTGAGTGGCTCACATTAAATAAATCACCCATTATGTGAATAAATTTTATTATTTTTTGAACTTTTCAAATATAATTATTTAGATGAAAAATATAGACATAAACACATAAATACTAATAATTTTCCTGTGGATAGGGGCTAAGAATACTTCCATGGCCCTCTACCAGTCGTAAGAGGCGACTAATAAGGTTGCATCAGGTCGACAGCCGGCGTAAAAATTATTGTCAAAAAAATATGAAGAATCCTGAACAAAACTTAGCTAGATTGTCCCATTTCGTATGTACGCAGGGACAACAGGAAGTAGTCAAAAACGGAGAAGGCCTAAGGAATAAAGTGTTTGTCGGAAAACTTATACTGTAGCTGTTTCACCAGTCATGTGTACAGGTCTACCCAACGCTTGTAGTGTCAACAGTGTAGGGACATTACCACTTAACTCTAGGCTGGACTTGTGTATGACGGAGGAAAAAAGATAGATACAAAGTAAGAATAGGTACTTGGAATGTTGGAACATTAACTGGTAGAAGTAGAGAATTAGTAGAAGTATTGAAGAGGAGAAAAGTTAACATTTTTTGTATGCAGGAAACTAAGTAGAAGATGAGGACGTTCAAAAAATTATAGACAGTATGAAAAAGAAATTCATTGTATGGCATAAGAGCAAAAGGAGAATAGATTAGATTGAGTATAAACACTTGTGCAAAGAAGCCAAGTGTGCAGTAAGTAAGGCAATGATAAAGAGGTATGATGAGCTGTATCATAGGCTAGGAACAAAGGAAGGCAAGAAAGAAATCTATACACTTACAAAAGTAAGAAAAAAAAGGACTAAAGATTATCATTATATAAGGTGTATAAAAAGTGCTGATAATAGGGTACTCTCGAGTGATGATGATGTGAAAAAAAGGTGGAAAGAGTATTTTGAAAAATTACTGAATGAGGAGTATCCAAAAGAGACGTTAGAGGATATCTTGTGGAATGAGGGACTGATAGACTTAATTAGTGAGAAAGAGGTATCGGAGGCTGTGGCATTAATGAAAAAGAATAAAACAATGAGACTAGATGCAGTGCCAGTAGAAGTATGGAAAATATTAGGTGGTATTGGCATAAGGTGGTTGAAGGAATTTTTAAATAAAATCTTATTAGAAGGGAAAATTCCAAATAAATGGAGGAATAGTATTATGGTCCTTGTATTTAAAAGTAAAGGTGACATACAGGAGTGTGGAAATTATAAAGGCATAAAGCTTATGAGTCATAGTATGAAAATTTGGGAAAAGGTAATAGATAAGACAATAAGAAATGAGACATCGGTATACCGATTTTCGGTTTTGTGTGAGGCAAGTAATAGAAAAGTTTAGGAATAAAAAGAAAAAGCTTTGTATGGTATTTATAGATTTGGAGAAAGTGTATGATAGAGTACCAAGAGAGGTTCTAAAGTGGGCATTAATGAGAAATGGAGTCCTGAAAAGGTACATTAATATAATAGAGGATATGTATGATGGCACTTAGATGATACTAGAGAAAAGGGTTTAAGAATAAGTAGAAGTAAGACAGAGTATATAGAGTACGAGTTTGATAAAGGAGAACACGAGGTAGGTGAAATAAGGAAACCAGTGACAATAGGTGAGGACATGATTGGAGAGGTGGAAAGTTTTAAGTATTTAAGATCAGTTGTTCAAAAGAGCGGTAATATTGACGAGGATGTAAGATACAGGATTAAGTGCGGGTTATTGAAGTGGAGAGAAGTGTCTGGTGTCTTATACGATTAAAGAATTTCAATGAGACTGAAAGGTAAAATCTACAAGACTGTAGTGAGACCAGCTATGATGTATGGTTTAAAGTGTTAGGCGGTATAAGAAGAGATAAGAAATGAGCATATAAGAGAGAATATATGTATAGCGTCAATCGTGGGTAAGCTGAGAGAAAATAGACTTAGATGGTTTGGTCATGTTATGAGGAGAGAAGAATCGGAAGATATAAAAACAGTTATAGAAATGAATGTTGAAGGAAGAAGAGGTAGAGGAAGACCAAAAAAGAGATAGAGGGATGCTATTGAATGCAATATAAGGACAGCTGATGTGAGCATAGAGGATGTGAGAGATCGTGTGAAGTGGAAGTTTATGATAAGAGTGGCTGACTCCAAGTAGTTGGGATTAAGGCGATGGAAGAAGAAAGAAAAAAAGAAGACGTAAATACTTATATTGACACTTTTTGAAATAACTTTTATAAGAGTTTTTTATATTAGAAATGTATTAATAAAAATTTCAATGCTATATAATTAATGGTTCACCTTAGACAAATTTGTATCTTAAAAGCATCACAACAACAATATTACTATATAAAATTAAATAAAAACCTCATTTGTAATAGTGCCCAAAATATACCAGAATTTCTAGACATGGTTGTTGAATCTGAATTTAAAGTTAGATATGTTCCTTGTCCTGTCCAAATAATTGAAGCTCCAAATCCAATTAATACCGACATTAAATAAAGTAACACTGTTGAAGGCCAAAGGAAAGAAATTAAAAATAAGCTGTAAATAAAAAATGAAACTTTGTATCTCATATTTCATTAATTTACTTATAATACATACGTATAACAACAAGCTCCAACAAACATTGACATTCTGGATCCTGCATAACTTATGATAGTTGGTGATACCCAATTAGACAATGCAAACACTACATAAATAATTGACAAACTAGTGTATCCATCTCCGGTGAATGTTGGATAGTCATTTTGTATACTTGCCAGTATAGTTTTCTTAAATGACAAAAATTTATATAAATAATTTATTCATTCTATTGTACCGTTTTTGGGAATAATAATATACATTATTTATAACAATTTCACGTGTTTTGGTTAACTTGATAATTAAAAATTCATACTTTGGTTTTATTAATTCATTGATATTAGAAAGAATATTTATTATAGTAATTATCACTTACTTCAATATTACCCATTGTTTGAAATGCGGTAAAAACGAGCATAAATGACAAGCCTAAAAGGCTTACATTCATTAATCTTTTATCCATTTTAATAATAAATACAATACAATTTTAAAGATTAAGTGTTTGAACTAAAAAATAATAAAAATATAAAAGATAAATTTTACAATAAAATAGAACATTTATAAATAATTTGATCTTATTATTGTCAACTTTCTAAAAAAATATTATGTAATTCTAATAAATGACATTTTGTATAGTTCAATTACTATAATGAATTATTATTACATTATATCGATTCTTTTTAGCTAATCTTAATAAAGATTTGAATATTTGTCTACGTAGGCGGTTAACTGATAATTTTCTATTATATCCAAAGATAATTAAAGTGATAACAGAGATAAAGTGATAAGATATCAAATAAGTAACTTATGCTAATTTCAATGGTTTCCAAAATTTTTATCATACAGAAATTTATTTTATAAAATTGAAGACTTAATTTTATTAATCACAAAATGTATCAGTATTAAATGCAAATACATGGGAGGCCTTAGGAGCCATAGCCTTCCAAAGTCAGAAATTCATCTTTACCTGAAACAACCTTAATAATTAAAGACTTAAAAAAGGCCCTCCTTCAAAAAATATGTCTTAAGTTCTTAGAAATTGTAAAATGGTTCCTCCCATCAATTTCTAAAAGATCCGCACCTAGTTAGTACCTATGCTAAATGCATTTTAATCATTGGCGCCTATTAAGGGGCTTGTCGAGCTGAGTCTCTACAAAATGTCAGGAAATTAAACGTATTATTATCAAAAATAAAAATTATTACGAGGAGTGCATTAGAAAAGCCCCTTCAATAATCTTGTTAGAATAGCATCTGTGATTTTGATGTATCGTATTTGACAAAAGAAATCATATCGCATGCCTTCGATAAGAAAATCAGTTGGTAAATTCATAGTATAAATAATTTTTATATAATAAACTATATAAGGTAACATCATCAGTGAATGAACATAAATAGTGAACAAACACTAATGAGTTTTTGAACTAAAAAATTATCTTATTTAATTGTTATAAGTTATTGCTAGTAGTTTTTATAACAAACAAAATATCTAAATTAAATTCTATTGCATTATCATAATTTTTGATTCAATATCCTTTACTGTTCATTATCTGAAAATTTCCAATTTTCAACATTTAATGAATTTTTTATTTTTATTTTAATTAATCATAAATATTAGCTTCGATGCGAAGCTGAGAAGGTATTGGTTTTACTATGATGTGTTTTTTTTTTTTTTTTTTTTTTT